GATAGAAAAGTAGGACTAACCACTTATTAGACTAAAAAGCAGAAGGAAATTCAAATGAAAAAATGCAAACTGCTAATTCTGGAGAAAATGATATGCAACAAAGCTATAGAATGTTGTACAATGTAGAAGAGACCTAGGGTAGATGCAGTTCAACAGAAATTTTTAAAAAATCAATGTGGTTACTTCTAAGTGGTGATAAATACCAATAAATTCCCTTCACAAAGAATCCTGAAACAAAGAATGGGCTTGTATTTTCACCTCTGGCTATGGGGTGCTGTTGCATACTCTCTAGCCTTTTCTTTAGCTTTCATCAGCTTTTCACCTACTCTACTCAACTCAGAGATTCTGATTCACTAGAGAAGCTACATATTTGCTTTTAAAAAAAATCACCTAAATGAATGGGGTTATGGAGACTTAGTAATGGTCTCTGTCTTTGTCCTGATGTTTTGTTGAAGACATAGGATCACAGATTTTTGGTTGGAAAGGACCTTTGTCATAGGATAATAGATTTAGGGCTAGAAAAAACTTTAGAGGTCCAACCTCATCATTTTTTGGATGAGGAAACCGAGGCCACAATACTCCCTTACCACAAACCTTTCCCTTTGCTACTGAGCCTAATACCCAATGGAATTTGATTCAACATATGTCACTCAAGTATATTTATGATCTCTAACTTCATACTCCATCATGAAACTTTCCCCAATGACTCTTTATATGATACTGCTGCCTTGTCATCATTCGATATTACCTTGAGTCATTACATGAAAAGATGAACAAGTAAATGTCTGAGGTAGCTTTGAACACAGGTCCTCTGAATCCAAATCCAGTCTTGCTATCTCTAATTCTCTTTGGGGAGCAACTTTGGGAAGTATGATACAGTAAAAGAAATCAAGCAAACTGAAAATCTTATTTTATTGTTTCAGTCATCTCTGACTCTTTATGCAAAGAAACCACTGTAGTGATTTTCCATGTCCTTCTCCAGCTTATTTTACTGATGAGGAAACTGAGGCAAACAGGGTTAAGCGACTTGCCCAAGGTAACATAGCTCGTAAATGTCTGAGGCCAGATATGAACTCAGGAAGATAAGTCTCCCTGACTCCAGGTGTGGTACTTTATCTACTGCACCACCTAACTGCCCTGAACTGAAAATTTAATTGAGTAGTAAAATAGTCTCATCCAAACAATCTTTTAAAAGTAATACCCAGGCAAGATAATATAGCTCTGAGTGGATCTGAAATACTGAGTTTATTTTTGGCACATACAGTTAAACTGAAGAGAACTGAGAGAAAAAAATAAGTAATATGATTAAAGGAATGAAGGAGACTGGACTTGCTGTGAAAATAAAGTTATTACATTACTTAACTATCTAATAACCAGAATTGGATTAATAACAGGAAAAGAATCATTTGGCCCAGTGTGAAAGGAATTAAAGGACAAAATTAGGAAAAAAATTAATTTGAGCTTGAGTGGGGTTTTTTTGGTTATTTTTTTCATTTTGAGAGGAAAGTGACTCATGTGATTTATTGTATTAATAGTAGCCAACATGAAGTGGTGGAAACTTTACTTGCCATGTAGAAAAGATCACATCATACTGTTTAAGTGTGTTAGCAGTTAAATTGATGTTCCATTAACAGGATGGTAAAATATTAGACCTTTACAGGCCTTGCCTTATTTCTCTGTTATACAACATATAATGACATGCTTCCAAAAGCAGACCCAGTGTCCTCAATTTGAAAGAGTGTAATTTCTCAAAGCAAAGAAAATGATAATGGGCGTGCTGTCAATGTCGACATCTATCGTCAGACTTGCCATCATTCTGGTGGAATTCTCAGGGCTAACTCCTGATGACTGAAGGCTTTTGCAGATCCTGAGACAGGAGCCTTGCCTTCAGACATAACATCTGACCAGACTTCCTCCAGTCCAAATATTAGCTTTATTTCTAATCATTAGATTTCTTCCTAGTAACTACTCTCTCAGTTGTGAGAAGCATAAAACACAATGCTCATTGGTTTGCCAAGCCCAGTACCTTGGCATTGGAACAGTTCCAAAAGTCTGGACAGCAGGATCTCATTAAGAGGAACTATCGGCAATTCTGTGCCTTAGTAGTGCTTCCACACCTCTGTGGTTCTAGATGAATAAGCATCACACATGTTTATCCCTGCCAAGAAGTAAATTTTTGAAGAGTACAGTACAGTCTTTCTATTTTTGCATTTGATATGTTTAGAAGCCTTTATTTCAAAGCAATAGAACAGTAATACTTATGTCATAGAAACAGGAATTGAGCCAGTTCAGGCTCTTCTATCACACACCCAAGTATAGTTAGTCAGCTCCTCATTATGTGGCCCAAGTCTGCGCAGTTCACTGATGCACTCAAAACTGGCTCAGTGGAAAACAAATCTTTTTTGCTCTCCATGTCAGTTTTCAGCCATTCATTTTACAGTTAGCTTTTCTAAATGGAAACTATAGAGAGAGACTCCGAGTGTTTTTTTTTTATTGGAAAGCATTTTTATAGTCTTATGGTGTTATCTCATTCCCACAGAGGATTATTAAGTCCTATTCAGTGCCTTTTCTGCTTCCCCAAACTGCATGGGGAAGGCAGGTAGAGCGGATAGAACACTGGGCCCAACCTGAGTTCAAATCTAGCCTCAGACACTTAACCAGCTGTGTTTCTCTGAGCAAGTCATTGAACTTCTGTCTCCTCAATTTCATCAACTGTAAAATGAGGTTAATAACAATACTTACTTCCCCAGGTTGAGGGGCAGCTAGGTGGCACAGTGGGTAGAGTTCTGGGCCTGCAGTCAGGAAGACTATCTTCCTGAGTTCAAATCTGGTCTCAGACACTTACTAGTCTTGTGACTCGGGGCAAATCACTTAACCCTGTTTGCCTCAGTTCATTCATCTGTAAAATGATCTGGAGAAGGAAATGGCAAACCCTTCCAGTCTCTTTGCCAAGAAAACCCCAAATGGGGTCATAGAGAGTCAGACGTGACTGAACAACAACAACCCCGAGGCGGTTGTGAGGATCAAATGAAAGATATTTGTAAATGCTGAGCACAGTGCCTGGTATGCAGCAAGCACAATATAAATGCTTGTTTTCTTCCTTCCTTAATCCTGCTTCAATTCAGTTCAACCTCCCAGGCACCAGGGATACAAAAATAAAAATTAAATCGTTTTTGCCTTTAACGAGTTTGAATTTTTCTAGAAGTGTTTTTTTTAAGCCTGTCAAAAAACTTGTGAGATAATGACTGCAGATATTGTCTCCATTCTATACATGAGACTCAGTGAGGCTGAGTAACTTACTGCTATTAAACAGCTAGGAAGTCTCAAAGTTGGGATCTGAACTCCAATAACAGCATTATACTGTGATACCTTTCTTATTCATAATCTCCCAGATCCTGAAACCTTTACCATAGTGCCACTATAGCATCTGTCACCTTTTGCCATTTTTAGGTCGGCATTATTGCTCATTAAATAATTTTGTAACCCATAATTGCCCATGTTCTTTTTATCAAGGTGTTTCCAAGGTTATCAAAGTTTTATCAAGGTTACCAAGGTATTATCAAGGTTTTCCAAATCGACACACATCGAAGACTGTGCTTCCATTAAAGCTACTCTGTAGATGTCATCTATTCTTTCTTTTTCATATTCAGAAGATTTGCCTTTACAAGTGTTTTCAAAGGCAAAGTGTGGAAGTACCAGAAAATAAAGCAAACTCTAAAAATTAAAAATACTGCTTTTATGAAAAATATTATCTATGGATCCAGTTAAATCCAACAAACTTCTATGTGTGCATTAGCTGTGTGGCCTGAAAGGCAAGACTTTCTGTTATCAAGCCTTTAAATTAAAAACTTCTGGCCTGTCTTTAATAAACTACAGAGAATGGTCAATAACACCTATAGCAGGAGAGAGGGGAAGGAAATGTTGACAATAGGTAGAATAGCCAAATCTCTCTTTTCTTAATTCTATGTTTTATCTCCTAACCTCTGTTTTAAATCCACCACTTTGCCCTTTGGTTGAATTTATCCACATGTTAATCTGATCTGGTGGATTAGCCAGGCTACTTAGGCCCTCATGTCTATTTGTAAAGGTAATGAATATGTTTGGTTTTACTCAAAGGAGGGTTTAGACGTGCTATTTATTGCTAAGTGCATTTAGAGTGCTATTTTTCCTGTTTTTATTTACATGGATATATACTTAAATTTACACTGAGGAGCCTTCTCAGATGAAAAGGGGAGATGTGCTTCCCAAAAAATCTACTCTCATGCCAACAAAGGTTTAGGCATTTTATATTTGACAGAGTTCACCAACGTATAGAAAAGTTAAAGAACTAAGACATAACCAAAAACAAAAGAAATTTCTAGAATTTGTCTAAAATAAATCTTTATACCTTATTTTATTGACTATGTGAAGTATAAGTTTTAGTTTGATGAATAGGATATTTGAATGAAATTGTGGTGTAGATAAACACATTTCTTAAAGTGATTCAAATATGTATTTGCAAAAAAAAAACAATTTGCCATGGTATTCATGAGAAATAATTCTTATTCTTAAATATATGTTGAATCATAATAGCTTCAGAAAGTTGTTTGTTTACCTACACTGTTGTGATTTGCTTTTTGTATTTTGAAGTCTTATAAGTAGAAATAACACTGGATTTAGGAGTCAGTAAGCCTGGGTTCTAGACCTGGCTCTGATCTTGGGGAGGTTACCGCACACATCTCTAGGTTTCAGTCCAAGATTCTCCCTGAGGTCCGTTCCAGTTCTAATATTCTTTGGGTCTGTGGTTGCAAAATCCTCTATTTGTAAAAATACCCTGAGAAGAGTAAAATATGATTCCTAAATCCTTTGGCATTTTCTCCTCCTCTTTCTGATTCAGTTGCAAATCATTAAACAAGTTTTCAAGAACCATTACAAACACTCTTGCTTGGTAACTGCCTGGGGAAAAAAAAAAGTGTTTGTTCTGCCAAATTACCTTGTTTCTTCTCATTTCCAACTCACAGGGTGTCCTCTGTGCAACTCCACTTATTTTTGTTATCCCATCCGCTTGTTATCTGAAGCTGTCTGAAGAAAGATGGATCCACCCAGATAAGATTATGGCCAGCGTGTTGCTTCTTAATGGTGTGGTTGTGATGGTAGTTGGATTTGTCATGGCAGTTCGGCATCCCCAAGATTGCAGCCATGGGCAGGAAATAGTCTATTGCTTTCCCACAAATGTCTCTTTTTTCAATATGTCATCTTTTCTTGAACCAATAACACAAACTCCTGTTTTGAATATTAGTACTGTCTAGTGATTTAGTTGCTAATAAAAATATAATAATATTATGTTTTCATGTGACCTATAAGTTTTGAGCTGCATAATTGTATTCCTCTCTGTTTCTCTTACTCTTGGTTCAGGAGATACCCTTGATACCCTAGCCTTTATTCATATTTCACTTTCTTTTCTATCGTGAGGCCGCGCCCGTGATTTGAAGAAGGAAGCAAATTTGGTTGGAGTTTTATTTTGCAGTAGGACACACATCTTTAAATGACTGCTAAAGATAGAGTGAGAAGTCTAGTCTTTAAAATCTACTAGCTCCTCCTAAATTATAATATTCTAATAAGCAATAGAATATTATAATAAATATTAGAACATTATAAAATTTTCGAGATCAAGTCTTTAAAAGGAAAGAAAGGGGGAAAAAAGAAAAAGGAAAGAAAAGACAAAGCAAAGACCAACAAAGATATCTACACTGAAATTAGGTAAGACAGAAATTAGTGATACACCTCTTTTTGAGTAAAGTGATAAAATAAGCTATCTGTTGTATTTTGTAATTTTCTAGAGCATGAGTATTTTCTCTGCCAAACCCTCCCTTCTTCCTAACTTCTTATTACTGTCAAGGTTACTATTATCCTCCTAGTCACCCAAATTTGAAACCTGGGGGTCACCCTCCTTGATTCCTCACTTTTGCCTATCTAATCTATTACCAAGTACTGTCCGCTTTACCTTTGTAACACCTCTTGCCTCTTCTCTCCTCTGACACTGACACTCTTCTGGTACAGACCCTCATCACCTTATGCCTGGACTATTGCAACAGCCTTCTGGTTTGTTTGCCCTGCCTCAAGTCTCTTTCCGCCATAGTCCATCCTCCACTCAGCTATTAAGGTGGCCTTCCCAAAGTGCAGGTCCGACCATGTTACCCTCCCACTCAAAAGATTCCAGTGGCTCCCTATTACCTCCAGAACCAAATACAAAATCCTCTCTTTGGCACTCCAAATCCTTCATACTTTCTCCCTCTCCCCCCTCAACCGTTGCAGTCTTATTCTCCACCCCCCACCTCAAATACTTGGTGATCCAGTAATGTTGGCCTCCTTCTCGTTCCCAGAACTAGACTCTGAGCACTCTCACTGGCTTTCTCTCATGGCTGGAATTCTCTCCTTCATCATCTCTGCCTCCTATCTTCCCCAGATTTTTTCAAGTCGAAATAAAAATCCTACTTTCTACAAGAAGATGATTTCCCTTCAAGCTAGTGCCTCCCTTCTGTGGATTATCTCCCATTTATCTTTTATATATCCTGTTTGTACTTAGTTATTTATGTATTGTCTTCCCCATTAGACTCTAGAGTTCCATGAGAACAAGGCTGTCTTTTGCCTTTCTTTGTATGTCTGGGGCTTAGTACAGTCTTTGGCACCTAATAGGTGCTTAATAAATATTTATTGACTGACTGAGTGTCCAGGTGAATATTAGCTACAAAAAAAGACACTAGGAACTAATCATTGCTATTATTCTTTTGGGAACAATAATTTCAAAGATATTTAAAATTCTGTGCTGGGTTTCCTAAGTTCTCAGAACCTTATATCACTGATAACTGATTTTTTCCTTTCCTTAATGAAGTATTAATTCTTAGGTATTAATAAGGTATTATATTAACATATTAATTAATTAATAATTATTAATAATAAGGTGTTATTCCCCCACTGATAGAAGTCAGCTTCCTTGTGTGTTAATGATATTATTCTCCCAGTTATCAAGACTCAAAATCTTGTAGTCATTTTTTTTATCCTTTTGTCTCTGTTTTGTTCCCCGTACTCAGTGAGTCACCATACCCTATCAATTCTTCCTTTAAAATCTTTCTCATAGACATACCTTCCTTAATTCCATTGCTACAAACTGAGTTCAGGCCTTCATTTCATGTGCAGATTACTTCAGCATTCTTCTCATTAGTCTTCTCGACTCCAGTTTTTCTCCCTTTTAATCCATCTTTAAATATCACTTTTGCCGTGGCTCTGTAAAAAAAAAAACCTGCAATGGTTTGGTATTCCTCATTAAAATAAATCTAAATGTCTGTACTTAATTTTTAAGGCTTTCTGTAATATGGCTCTACCCTCCTTGACCAACATCATTTCCCTGAACATTAACCCTTGGCTCCAACCAAACTTGTTGCTTCTTTTCCCTCAAACATGATAACCTTCCCACCCATAGGCCTTTGTTTATATTTTCCTTATCTGAAATTCTCTCTCAATCTCTCTCTCTCTATCTCTCTCTCTATCTCTCTCTGTCTCTCTCTCACACACACACATAAAACCTTTTCCTCTTATCTCCTCATACTTTTCCATTAAACTATACCTCTCATCATTTCAAACTTCTCCCCCAGACTTCTAAAATTGGTTAGTCTGTACCACACATTATAGTATTTAATTATGCTCCCTGTCATATCAGTCAATCAACAAACATTTGTTAGGCCCCTGCTGTGTGCAAAAGATGTGCTATATGCTGGAGATACAAATACAAGGAATAATTCACTCTCTACTGTTAAGAAATTTATATTTCTTATTTTTCTTTTCTTTTTGCCGTTGATTCATGTGCATTTATCTCACCTCTCCAATGAAACTATAGAAGTTACTCGAAGTCAGGTACTATTCCTAATAAAATCTTATATACTGTTAGACATATTAAGAACTAAATAAATACTTGTTTTACTCACACCCTGGATTCTAGGCCTATTTGGGCCCCTAGGATATCTCTCTTCTGAAGCTCAGAATTATGCCATTCAAATATATCATATCTGACAGATATGTGACCCCAAAAGACAGTAATTATTTCGCAGCAAGAATACAGCATACACAATCCTACGGGCTACCTACATAGGCTGGAAGTGCATGCCTCCACATAGTGCCCTAATTCTTAGACTCACTACACTCCCTAAAGTAATGATTTGGGGCAAATTTGTCATCCATACCTTGACATAAACCACTCATGCTCTGAGCTTCTTCTATTCAGGCACATTAGTCTCCCAAATGCAGTCTCCTCATAGATTTATAATTAATCTCTCTATTACAACCACACCACTGATTTCTGCATCTACAAAGAGTTCTTGACATACTCCATCACACACAGAAGCTACTTTCCAAGCTGCCTACTCCACCAATTACCAACATCAAGATAACTCCTTTAAAATTTGGAGGCAAATAACACTACAGGAAGCTGCACAGCCTCTTTAATTTAGACACACAGCTTTGTCACTATCCGTCAGCTTGGAGAGATAGTGAGGAACAGTACTCCCCTACGTATAGCATCTTAGCAGCACCGGGACTTGTTTTGTAGAATCAGTAGAGCATTTTAAAAGGCTCATGCACTGACAGATTTCTCCACATACTTTCAATAACAATGCCAGTGTTGTTTATAAAACTGTTCCAAGAGATTCACAAGAACTTGTAAAATTACACCACTATAATGGTGCCCTAATTCTGCCATTTTGCAAAGCTTCAGGGGCTCCTCTCAAAGAATTGGACCACCTTCTTCCCATGCTGGTTTTTTACATCAAGTTCTTTTGGGGTGAGATGCCTACTGTATCTTGCCATTTATAAATCTGCTTTGAGATTTGAATTTTTTTGTTACAAACTTTTTAAGGCACTTTTATAATCTAGAAAACTTCATTGGTACCACTTTTCATGATTGCAGAAAACAGTAATTGTTTTTCTTGGTAGATTTTGTAGAACATAGGCGTCTCCTATGTAGAGTTTTTGGACCAAGATTTGTTTAGACAAGTGATTGTTTATGCTAGTAAGGCTGAACTGCTTGTCCAAAGTAGGCCAGTGATACTTAGGCACTCAGTTGAATTACCAGCCATGTTGATTAAAAAAAGGGGGCACCATTCATTAATGCCCTGGCTGTAGGCAGTGTCCTAAGGAATGTCCTACCCTCTCTTCCTCTAGAAATGTGTGGATTTGTTGTACTTAAAAGTGTAAAGCACATTTTTTTTCTTTCCATTTTGTTTTTTCTCTTTTTTTATGCTTCATTCTTCTATCAAGATTGCCTTGATGCAATTCTGATGTTTTATATATCTCTGTGTGTGTGTGTATACACACACATATATATGTATATGTATATCAAAATACATTTTATATATATACAAATACATATGTATATATACAAATACATTTTAGAATAGAATAGACTTATATATAGACTATGTATATAGAATAAATAGTATGTATTTATATATGCTATATTGTATCAATAATATTATTAACATTACATACACACACATCAAACCACCATGTTGGAGCACCTTTATTCAAGATTTCATTGCACATCTACTGTAACAAACGTATATCATAAATTAAACTGTATGTTCCCTTTGTAACCAATTTATGAGTTGGTGAGTGACAGACATGAGGTTTGCTAATCATTGCTATACCATTTATTTTTTGAAAAAGGAACTTTGTCTTCATTATCCATTTTATCTGTCATCTATGGTCATTGAATTTGATACTAACATATAAAAGAACTATAGTTGTTATTTAGTTTTGTCATTTGAAAGTAGCAAATGTAAAAGTGCCAACATTTACTGAAATTGCAGAGAAGTTGCTGACCTACATTGGTAGAAGTTCCCACACCTAAGAATTCCCTATACCAGTGAAATCTCAAGTCCAATTCCTATCCCTTAAGTACAAGCTTATGGGCAAATGGATGAAACTTTCATAGGAATGTATTGATATCCTTATCATAGTCAACCACTTCCTATTCTTGGGACAGCCTATCAAGTGGTCGAAAGATGTGTGTCACAAGGATCATTATGTTTAACTAGAAAAAACCTCAGAATTATCTAGTCTAGTCCCTTCATTTTACACATGGAGAAACTGAGGCTCAGAGAGTTTGTGACTTGTCTCCGGTAATGTATAAATAGCAAAGCTAGGATTCAAACCCAGGTCTTTTAATTCCAAACCCAGTGGCCTTTCCATTCTACTGTCTTGCTCATAGTCCATGACTAATGAGTGTCAGAGCTAGGAATTAAACTCCAGGCTTCTAACTACAAGACTAGCACTCTTTTTGTAGCATGCTGCCTATCCCTCACTCTATTTTGTTTTGTTTTTATTTGGGAGGTGGGGGTAGTCAGGAATCTGGGACAACAACAGTGTGTATAGGTAGCAAAGGACTAAGTGAATTCAGGTACAGGAGCCTGAAATCAATTGAGAAATGACTGTCTTTTTGTAAGCTTATGCAAATTATATTTGAACTATATGTCAATCTATATACCCATTTAGTCCAGTCCTTTCCATTGTTTCCTTCACTTGGATAAAGCCCTTGGTAATAGTTTAGTAAAA